GCTGTCTAATATGCCTATGCAGGATTTAGCTAGGGGGCTTTATATTGTATATATAAAGGGCTAGCTAAATATACCCTAAAGGTGTCGGGCTCATATATATATATATATATATGTATGTGTATATATATATATGTACTTAGGTACGTATGTATGCATGCATGTATGTATGTATGTCGATGTTTGTTTATATGCATATATGTATGCAAATCTGTATGCAGACACAGTTGTTTGCCGCGTTGTTAAAGCTGCCTGGATGGTTGTCTCGAGGTTTGCTCCAGCCGGCAAGGTTGATACCAGTAACCGGCGATGGTGCGCCCCCTAGAGACGCGCGCACAGTGGTGTTGATGGCCAAAGCCACGCAACCGCGTATTGAAGGGTTCCCGACCCTCTCGTGCTTGAAGTCCTTCGAAAGCACAGGTTGGCGACAACCAGCTTGCACATCGTTATGCCATTTTCCCAACACGAGTGCAGCCTAGGTTTCCAGAAGGAATTCCGCAACTGTTTTGGAGTTTTGAAAGGTAAGCGAAATCTACGATCCCCAAGCCACTCCCGGTGCATGCACATTGTGTGCAGTGTTCGCAGCGAAGAAGCGGTGCGGTATCTTGTGCCTGATACTTTGTATGAAGGATGAACGGAGGGTCGTGAACGTTCTTATGTGATGTGTCATGTTCAGCTGCAGGCTCAGCTTTGATCGGTATGATTGTATTTCGAGCAACTCTTGGTAGATGCCGTGCAGTTTTGTGGAAAGTGCTTGATGCATCGCAGTGCAATGTGCAAGCGTTCTGCACTCACACGGCTGCTCAAGGCCGTCCTGCGGTCTTAGGTACTGCTGCAACTGCTGGGGCGAGTGCGATGCCATGCTCCCAGATTCCATTGCATGCGACTGCTTAGACCTGACGGGTTCTCGCATGTAAAGCTCCTCATCCTTGCCACACTGACGAGCGACATGGAGATTTCAAGAGGTGTGGATCCACACTGGCATTGCGCAATTGGAGAGCCAATGTGCTTCAGAAGTATCATGCAAGCGTATCTTGTCCAAGCGACCCTTGACGACCACAATTGCGCAGAAATCCTGCGAGCAAACCTCCGAGAGCAGGAGCCCCCAATGCTTTTCTACTCTGCGGTTTGAAGCTATCCAAGCAGGGCCTTCGACAGGGTCCACCGGGCTGCTTTCTGAGGCTGGAAAAGGCGCAGGGCTGAGAGCAGAGCCACCGGAATGTCAGGCTAGGAGATTTCACTGGTTAGCATCTGGTGGTTTTGGCTTTCCGGCTGTGTTGCGAGCACTCCGTTCGCCGATAAGTGCGTGGCAGTCTCCTGGTATCCCAGGGTCATGAAGTGGTGTCCTCACAGACTCTGACCCCTGAGGCCCGAGACCCCAATCGGGCTTCGCTCCCCCAGGTCCTCGGCTCCCTGCAGGCACCACAATAGTGGCGTGCCTGGGCCAAGAATTCTACGTGTAACGATGATTTCCAAGGTTTGATCACGGGCTCACAGGAGAAAGCGCTCTTGGATTGTGCCTGCCATCAATCGCCAGAACTCTACAAAATAAAACACTTTACTGCAGGAAGCACAAGACAAAGTAGTTGTCAGGCACTTCTCTGCTTTTTTGTTCTTCACCCCACCCCCCGTACTTCGACTACTTTTCGTTTCTGTTTGGCTGCCCATCATGGGCGACAAAAGAAGTAGTAGTAGTAGTAGTAGTAGTAGTAGTAGCAGTAGTAGGGACCTTGCCGGGGCCGCTTCAACCTTGCCTCGTCGTTTTCTTGTGGTGGCTCCTACCATTTGTGGGTCGGGCCCTTTTCGTGCCTGTCGTGGAGCTCTCTGAATCGAGTTCTGAGCTCGGATGTGTATAGTTTAGGGCGGGTCTGAGACACCTCACCCTAACGGACAGGTAGCATTGACGTTATCATAGTTTGGGCATGGATGCACTGGATGGGCAGGTAGAATGGACGTTATCATGTTTTGGGCATGGATGCACTGGCAAGTGGATGGGCAGGTGGCATGGGCGTTATCATGGTTTCGGAATGCATGCAGACCTGAGCGATAGAGAGGGTGCGGCAAACGAGGGTGATGGAGCCAAGATGAAGGGCAGGTTAGAGGGTGAGGGACACGGGCCCTTAATCGGAGTAGGAGTAGGAGGAGTAGTAGTAGTAGTAGTAGTAGTAGTAGTGGTGGTGGTAGTAGTAGTAGTACAGTAGTAGTAGCAGAAGTAGTAGTAGTAGTAGTAGTAGCAGCAGTAGCAGTAGCAGCACTAGTCGTAGTAGGAGTAGCAGGAGTAGCAGGAGTAGCAGCAGCTGTAGCAGTGGCAGTGGCAGTAGGAGTAGGAGTAGGAGTAAGGGTAGGAGGAGGAGTAGGCGTGCGAGTGGGATCGGGAGTAGAAGTAGGGGTCGGAGTGAGAGTAGGAGTAGCAGTAGTACGAGTGGGAGTGGGACCTCCTGCTCCGACTTTACTACGTCTTCTGATACCACCACCACTACTACGAGGCCATGATCATGCACTTGACGGCATGCGGATCATGCCAAGTCCCGATGCAAGGCAAAATTGAAGCCCCAGAGCCAAAAGCCCCTAAACCCTAAACCCTAAACCCTAAACCCTTATCTTAATCACCTCTCCTCCTATGAGCCCAAAGCAATCCTTATCTTCATGACCTCTCCTCCTATGAAACGGCCCTGCCCGAGTTTATATTTCTGGACCACTAAGCTTTAAGCCCTAAACCCTAAACCCTAAACCCTAAACCCTAAACCCTAAACCCTAAACCCTAAAACCCAAACCCGTAAAGCCTTGAGCCCTAAACCCTCAACCCCTGACTTAGAACTTACATCCTAAGCCCCTGAAGCCTTGTGTGGAACTCTTTCGAAGCATTTCAGGTCATCCGGGAGTGCCTCTGTGGTCCGCGACTTGATCTGCAGAGCTGAATTGTTGAGGGTTTAGAGTCCAGGGTTTTAGGTTGTTGCTTTCAGTACTTTTCGAAGCGCAACGGACATACGTAGAACCCCAAACTAGAACAAAATCTCGGCAAAGCCCTTGCGAGTTGAAGAACTGGAAGCCTCAACGCACGGAAGGAACCATTCTGATATCCCCCTAAACCCTAAACCCTAAACCCTAAACCCTAAACCCCTTTGGTGGGGGCGATCAGAGCCCCAACACCCCAAACCCTAAACCTTGAATCCCCTTGCTTAGCCCTTGAATGCCCTTGAATCCTGGTGCTTAAACAACCCTTGAATAGTAATTATAGGCCCGAAAGCACGAGATACCCCCCCCCCCCCAAAGCCCGAAATTTCAAGTCCCAACAGACAAGAACTAAACCCTAAACCCTAAACCCCTAAACCCCTAAACCCCTAAACCCTAAACTCTAAACCCTAGACCCTAAACCCTTTGAGTGCCCCAAGAGCCCTGGCCTCAGGCTCGCACCGCCAAAGCGGATTCAAAATGCAGAGGATCTGGCCCAGATGCTGGAGGCCAGGGCTTTAGGGTCTACGGTTTAGGGTTTAGGGTTTAGGGTTTAAGGTTTAGTCTACGGTTGATGGACAAAAATCCTGCATGACCCTATATACCTATGGGATTTATGGTGCTATGCTATATTTGGGTCATGCAGAATTTTGGTTCGGGGTTCAGGAGTTTAGGGTTTCGGGGTTTTGGGATGAGGGCTTAGGGGTCTATGGAGACCATGGTTCGGGGTCGAGGGGGGGTCGGGGTTTTAAGGTTTAGGGGTTTGGGGTCTCGGGGGTCAGGGTTTAGGGTTTAGGGGTTCGGGGTTTTCAGGTTTTTGGGGGGTTCAGGGTTTAGGGTTTAGGGGTTTCGGGGTTTTAAGGTTTAGGGGGTTCGGGGTTTAGGGTTTAGGGCTTCGGGTGTTCATGGGGTCATTTCAAGGTTTCTAGAAGACTTCCTATACAAGAGCTTTGGGGTTTTTGGGTTCAAGGTTTGGGGCTCGGCCTCCCGAACTAGGGCCTGTGGCCTTGGGCGCAGGGCTGAGGGGTTAGGAATGCTTAATTAAGCCCTAAACCCCTCCCGATGTGAAGGAGGTTCCCACGCTGCGTACAACGCTAGCTGTCGCGATGGTTCAGGAGGTGATCAACCGAGTAGGGCAAGTGGCAGGGGATGCGGACGAAGCCCGCAAACTTCAAGAAGTGGGGACGAAGCCCGCAAACTTCAAGAAGTGGGGTGGAGGGATGCGAAAACGGGTTCTTCAAAAGTGGGATGCGGAGTCCAAGATGCTCGCGATGGAGTCGGAACGAGTTCCACTCAAGGATATTTCCAGCTCCTCGAAGAATTGAAGCAGAAGCTCCTGGGTCAGACGGTCATGCGATTCCTAAACCCTAAAACCCTAAACCCCTAAACCCTAAACCCTAAACCCCTAAACCCTAAACCCTACACCCTAAACCCCTAAACCCTTTAGGGTTTAGGGCTTGGCGCCAGGGCCATGCTGGGTAGGGCTTAATTGGGGTTTAGGGTTTTGGGTTTAGGGTTTAGGGGTTTAAGGTTTAGGGTTTAGGGTTTGGGTTTAGGGTTGAGGTTTAGGGTTTATAGGGGTTAGGGATGCTTCAGAGTTTTAGGCCTTATGCCGTTGGGGTTGTATGTGTTTTCGGGGCTTTTGGCTTATAGGCTCTTGATATTTTCGGGTGTTCGGGCGTAGGGTTTTTGGAGTCATTAAGGGTAGCATGGGATAACTGAGGCAATTTAGGGCTGTGGGGTTTTTAGAACTCAGGGAATCAAAGTTTTAGGTATCTAGGCTGTGTATGGCCTGAGGCTTTGAGAGTTCAGGGTTTAGGGCTTAAGGGATATGATATGCCAGAATGTAGAAGTTGTAGGGACGATACGCAGTAGTAGGTCGTGACAAATTAGAGTGAGCACTCGACTCTACCTGACCTGAGAAAACCTGAGGTGATGCGGCCCCGATACGCGGAATGCATGTCCTCTGCCCGCGACGCCTTAAAGGAGACCGCTAACATGTCGATGAAGCAGCCCGCTTGTTTTTCAGAATTATCCCTAGGGCTTTTACTTTGGGGTCTAAAGTCTGTACATAGTACCTACTTTGGGCTTTTTTTGGACCCAAGGGTATTGCTTCATGATGTTATCGGGGGTACGCGGCTTTAGGTTTGGAGGGCTTTTGGTGTTTAGGGCCTGGGGCGGTGTAGGTATGAGCACCTGCCAGTGCGATGAACCTTTTGTACTCCGTATATGGTTTGCAGCCGTGCAACACGCGCGCATCCCTGATTCGGAAATTTGGGGTCCCAATCGTGTAGGTCTTCAGTGGGCTCTCGGAGATAGTAATAATAACAATCAAAATAATAGAGGTCCAATGTACCTGATTCGGTAATTGGCAAGTAGGTCTTGGAAATGTAGGCTTCGACTTTGGGGAGTGTATGACTACAACCCTAAACCCTAAACGCCCTAGGCCCAAAACCCGAACCCCCCCCGCCCCCCCCCAAAAAATCTAACCCTTAACCCTAAACCCGATGTTATATATATATATACACACAGATTCTGAGACCCTTCAGGTTGGAGTTTAAAGGTCGCTGCCGCAGAAGGCAGTTGTAAAAGGACTGAGGTTAAGCAGAAGTCGTACTGTGATCTGATCATGAGCCAAACCATGTGGAGGGCCTTAAACATTTGCATGGGGCTTCGGGTCTATAAAAAAGGCTGAAGGACAAGAAGGAATATTCTGACTAGAAAAGACCTCTAGATTATCCTTTTTGGGCTTGATGGGGGAAGGGTCGTCGCCCCACAGGTTAGGCCAGGAGGTCAAAACCCTTAAGCCCTAGATGCATAAATCCTAAACCCTAAACGCCCCAAGCCCAGAAAACAAAAGCTACACTTTCGACGCTATAAACAAATTTAGGGTTTAGGGTTTAGGGTCAGTAAATCCTAACTGAAACCCTGAACCTTGCAGCCCAGGCAGCTGAAAGACCATCCATCGAAGAAGCTTTTTCAGCTGCTCGGCCTTTTCGAACGCTGGGGTCGAGATTGGATGTTGCGGGGTGCTTCTGACAAAAAGCATAGCAAGACTGAGAGCACCGTCTAGAATGGGGGTAGTAGCCTTACGTTATTGTATTAAGGATCCTACTATACATGTTTATGTCCATGTAGGAGTCGATATTCGTTTTAGTTTTATTACCTTCTCCTGAAATGACCATGTGTATCGCTCCGAAAAGATGCTTGACTGACGCTTTTTGTGTACATATACATCTACTATTTCTATACTGTGTTGGGGTTGGCTGTAGGTTCACGGTGCCGAATCCGCCTGCCACAATGTCCAAACGGTCTGCTGCACGACGGGGGGCTTTAAATACTTCCTGGCCTGCTTGTTGAAGCATGCAGTGCTTCCCATGCACCTAGAGCGTATAGTAAGTTCCACCTTAAGCATTAACTCTAAGCCCTTATTAAACTCCTAAACCCTCAACATACCCTGAGCCCCTTGTCTTGAAGGCCTGA